TTTCTAAACATAGAAAATAAGTAAACTAATTATTGATGGATACAATTTTTCTGTAAGTGTTTCTTTATAAAGGGTCTGTTGATAGAGATATGCATACTGACTGATTAAATAGATCCCACACATTTCTACAATACATTAACCCCAAAATGAAGAAAGAAATTCCAACACAAAACACCCCCCAAAACAATGAAGAAAGGTAAAGAGTGTAGCATAAAGTTGGAGGAGGACTCAATAATCATTCATGCTTTTTTCACATAGTTTCAGACAGCATATCACTTCAAAATGAAAGTCTTCAAATGTAGTGTAGTAATTTTTACCTTCTGAATCAATGGCAGCCAGTCCATCAGTAGAGCTTGCTGTAGAGTGGAGCTGTTCTGGCAGATCATTGATCTCCACACCTCAATACTTATGCTCTTTGTGTTAAGAGCCCCTCAAAGGGACCCAAGAGATCCTCACATGTTAAAGACTCAGATGCCAGACCCTAGGAAAACAGAAGCAAAAAAAGTGTTTCATACTTCCATACTATTACCAAAAACCTCAAACATGTCATCCCCTAAAGTCACTGCATTTCATATCACCGAGAGCTGTCAGACTTTCATCATTTCATACACATTCATGTTCTTACTGTTTTAATAAATTATACTTTATGAATTTATATCAAATAACATGCAAGTGAGTCATTTACTAAAGGTAAATTTAATCGTCAATTACATTGTATATCTATGGTAAGTGCAAGGTTGAAGCTTTAAGAGATACATAGCCAAAGGCTCATGGGCAGTTGAAATACTGCTGGCATACCTTCACAATGTTTTCCATCAAACTGTCAAGAACGTGACCGATCCAAACGCTTCCGCCAGGCTCGTTTGTCAGCAACATTAGATAAGTCAGTTGCAGCTGATCAGCGTCTTCCAGGACATTGGTCATCATTTCTGCAAACCAGGAAGAGTTTAGACAATAAAAACAAGGACAAAGCCAGATCAGTTGACCACAGTCCTATTCAGTGATTTGCAGTGAAATAAAATTACATTTTCAACACAGAGTTTAAAAAAGCAATGCACCTAACTCCTTGAGTTACCCACTTGACCTCTATTTCTTTGTGCAATACGTCCCAGGGGGATAGTTTTTTCCTTGTAAGTTTCCTGTGTGTGTGTGTGTGTGTGTGTGTGGGTGTGTGTGTGTGTGTGTGTGTGTGTGTGTGTGTGTGTGTGTGTGTGTGTGTGTGTGTGTGTGTGTATCCATTTCCCACATGGTAACTCCACTAGTCTTTCTGTCTTCCATCGGCCCCCTGAGATAGGGTGTGAACTTCTTTTTAACACTAGGTAATACAGTACATGTACTCCATTTCCAGCATGCTGCTATACTTAGTTCAACATTTTCTATCTTTTATCAGTCCCCTGATATAGGATGTGAACTTTTTCCTCTAGGTTATACAGTGCATATACTCCAGGTAGAAATAACAACAATGACTGTGGCAGAGTGTGACAAATAAAGCAAGTCACACTCCTTGCAACACAATATGTCCTGTGAATGCGTTAACCATCAGATTTCATCTCTCTGTTCTTGCTGCTTCATTGTAAGAGTTGACACCCAAAGCTCATGTTAGCGTGTATGCCTTAGTTCAGTCCTCTATCAAACATTTCATTGAAAGTCAATTTCATCCTGAAAGGAAAACATTTGTTCACGTTTGTGTGCAGACACCAGGCTTACCTTCTACAGTATCAAGGATAGTGTTGCTGACTTCATGGACTGAAAGCCAGTTCCAAGGATACTCTGAACAACCATATCCACTTCAGGCACAAGATTTATAATTTCCATCACCACTTGACCGACCCTCAAAAACCTGCCAAAACACAAGGACAGAAAAAGTACAAACTGTTCACATGACAGTGGGAACTTGACCTTTGGGAGATCTGTCTTACTGATTTGTGTACAAGTCTATATTTAGCCTAATGTGTGCAAGGAGAATTAAATTTTCTACTGCGGCTAATTTCAAGATGGTTTCCAGATTGTTTCTTTCTTTTTTTGTATAAGGTGGTTATAGGATTGAATGAGCTGGAAAAAGCAAATGGAAGCAAATGTACAACAAATGTTAATGAATCGATAGAAAAATGGCTTTCAACTTCCCGAAATGTTAACTGTAACGTACATTTTCAAACTATTTCTCAGACATTTTAAGCTAATTTCTTTTTTCATGTACAGTAGTGTAAAAAACCCTTCAACTTGTCTGCACATTTTTATGACATTCAGAAAGCCCATTCAGTTGCTTCAGTCAGATTATCTCTTTAGTTTTTGCAGCATTACAAAAATTGGGTAGCCTCTAATGGACTGGCAATGTATTTAGAGAACAGACTGTACTTACAGCTCCTCCTCGATGTTTTGAGGTTGTGTATCAACGCTACGCCGATTTCTCGTGATGTTGGGGCCTCCCTGTCCTACTGGGGATAAACCTCCCATCAGACTGTGCAGCAGCCCCTTGGCAAATGATATATCATGTGGAGCAACATATTTACTCCACTCCAGGAGAGCCTGGTGAGGACAAAGACAGAGGAGAAGGTATGCTGAGTGAGATTTGCTAAATTGAATTCATTTTAGCTAAATCCAACCTACATAAGAAGTTAGTCTTTTTCTGCTCTTTTCTTTCTCTGTCTCTACACAATAAATATCATCGTGCTTTTTTTTGTAAAAATCAATTTTATTTATACAGCCCCAATTCATAACAAAAATAAGTTTGTTATCACAAAGCCAAATTTAAACGAGGGCAGCCAGAAATAAGGTGACTAAATGACACTTTATATACATTGTATGTACTTTAGTATACATTTAAAAACAAAAAGTATTATTTCTTTCACACATTCATTCACCTTAGCAAAGTTATTTTGACATCATAGGAAAACATCATAGAAATCATCAGTAGAACTAAAGAGCTGGTCTGCAATTTATTTTATTGACGTCTAAAAACTGTTGATTATATTTATATGGGCTTAGCACAATACTGTTTTTTTGTTATTATGTAATATTGTACATTTCGATTTTTTTTTTTGATATTCATTCATCGGGTATGGTAGCAGAAAGCTGAGATCAAATAAATTAGTTATTGTCACTAGCACTACAATGTCAGTAGCACTGAATTTGTAAGTGGCATGTCTGAGTAAGTTAATATGACACACATCATAGCAAGGCTATATGTCAGCATTAGATCACTAATTGATGTCAGGCTAGCTGTCAACATCTACTGTAGTTGTAGTGCTATTTAGATGTCAGTGCAGTTTTTTGTTCCCCACGTGCAATCTGGGAGTTGCAGTTACTTGTTGCTATGGCAAACAGCTTTCTTGCAGTCGAAGACTAATCATTTGGTATACTCTCTATCCCCTAATGTAAAGGTGGCTCTTGAGAATGCAAATTAGGAGAAGGATAGAAGAACGCAAACAAGCAGCTTTTGAGAAAGTGAGAGGACAGAGCAGAGACAATAGAAATGGAAAGAGGAAAACACACAACAAGCAGATGTGTAATTTCTGGTTTCTGTCGTTCCCTCCTTTGATGAAGATGAAAACATATATGATTCTAACCTACCTGCTTTGCTACCTTCTTAGGGCTGATCCAGCTAGAAGCATGTCCACAGTGCCTGTACTGCACGCTACTGTTAGCCACATCGGGCTACTGCTACTGTCACACAAGTACAAACGCACTGTGTCTCGGTCCAATGTTAGGCCAATAGCCTAGAGAAGAAAAGAGGATTACAGTATATATATTGAAACTATGGACAAACTCTTAATAAAGTGGTAGCTCATTTATGGTAGCTCAATTATTACCACAAATAATCAGACAGTAGTAAAAGACTGTGTTCCATCAAATGAATAGTTAGACATTTTGGGAAATACATTTACAATATGTGTGCTCTTGCAGATGACACCATATGAAATTACAGCTAGGAGGTGACTTAGCATAAGACTGGAAACAGGGGGAAACCGCTAACTTAGCCCAGCTCTGTCCTAAAGTAAATATAAAAAAAAAAACACCAACCAGCATGGTAAAACAACATACATGGTTGTTTAGGTTGGAGGACTTGTTGAGATTGTTAGCTAGCTAATTACACAGTTACAGTTGCTAATGTTGCTAGCTAACGTTGCTAGCTAATGCTGCGAACTGAAGCAACTGAATGGGCTTTCTGAATGTTACACAAATGTTCACACAAGTGGAAGGGGTTTTCAAGAAATGCATAGTGAGAAGATTAACATTTTGTTCATTATCAACATTATCATTATCAAAAATTGGCCTACAAAAAAACATAAGTTGCACAACCTATGTTATTAAAAACCTAAATCAATCTTTTTCACACATGAATTAAATGCCTCTCCTGAGTGAAAACCTACTAAGATGGTATGTACACCCGAAGTAGGACATTCTGGCTATTTATAATATGTGACCGTCTTTCTCATGTGTTAGTGCTGTACAAATGTGGGTCATAATTTTGACAAATGATCTACATGATTGTGTTTTTGGTGAGGACAGTCTCAACAATCTACAGCTGCACACATCTGCTAACAAATATGGTTAACCTCCTTGTGTCGTTGGGGTCTACATGTGTTTATGTCATGTGACGTAGGTCATGTGTTTTACACAACATAAGTGTGGTTGGGAAATGAAGTTTGAAATTGCTGTTTTGGGAGGTATGGACAAACGCCACCGGTAGGGGCGCTAATTTAGGATACGCTCATATGGGTCGTACTGGAAGGCATGATTAATAGGACCTATGTTGTCGTTTAGGTTGGAGGACTTGTTGCATATCCCACCCACTGACAGGTGCCATGGTAACACGATAATCAGCGTTTTTACTTCACCTGTCACTGAATGTCATAACTGTACCTTGTCCAGTGGTATCCTGACCTCTTGTAGAACACGTTTCATCATTTCACTTAGAGAGCTATTCTGTATGACGACCTCTCCGAGGGAAATGGACACATCTAAACAGAAGCAAATCACGTGGTTATTTGGTACCCTAATGGCGTATCAGCACAAAACTGGACTGACAACATTTCTCGGAGCAGGATGTCATGCCTTCATAGTGATCCATTATTTTAAGAAATGATACAGTACCATAAAGGTATATTAAGTAATCAGTTTTTTATTTTACTTAATATAAAAAATATGTCTGATATACAGTACATTAAAAGCCATTTTGTTAAAAACAACCTAAAAAAACATTCTAAATCTTGACATATGGTATGTTAAATAAAGCTGATGGTGCAATGTTACCTTTGCCAGGCCAGTTTTGAACATAGTGGATCAGATTAATGCCTCCAACAATAAGTGGATGCGCCGTAGGAAATGAGGCACCGGCTTCAGGGAAATTGCTCTGGATAACATGCATTGCACTAGAGAGAGAAACAGCGAAGATGACATTTAATGTCCAAAACAAGACAAAACCTCCAGGACTTACAAACTAAAAGGAGACATGCTAACAGTGGACTCCATCATAACAGTGATTAATTCTACTACACCCTTCATACATTTTCTTTCTAAACGTACTAAATAAATAAACACCTTCATACAGCTGCCCTTGCTGCATCTTAGAAAGTACATTACCCCTGTATGTTGGTGAGTAGAGACTCTGCACTGCCCAGCACTTGGTCAACAGAACCAGGAGAGAAGAGCTGGGGAATAGCTAGAAGGCTTTCCCACAGCGAGGTCTGATTTTGCAGCTGATCGAACACTAACACCCCCATCCCAGCCATTGTCGCCATCTCATCTGGTTTTGTCAGCATCAGCTCCATCAGTATCTGACAACAGGAGGCAATTTAAGAGTCAACAAAAAAGAGACCGCAACAGTTTTAGTGTAAGTATAGATAAAACATTTTTTTCACATAAAACAGAAATAAAAGAAGTCATCACACTGTCCTGATAACAACAAGCTGACACATGCAGGCACAAACCCACATACTGTGTGCTAGCAAACACAAACACACCTGGTTTAGTGTATGGAGCGAGACTTCAAACACAGTTTCGTTGGACTTGCAGAAAGTGGACACAGCATAGGACAGGAAGTTGGGTGAGGTTGTGTTCATCATGGGCAGCGTCATTGTGCAAACGGCCCTCTTCAAAAGTGACTCCAGTGTTTCCAGTGTTTCATTCAAAGTCTCCTGAAACTGATCCACATTATTACAGTCATGCAATAAGTGAAGGTATTCATTAAAAAAGGTTAATTATACAATGTTATTAGATTTTTTGAACACAATTGTAGATTGTATTAAAGGCAGGGTATGTGATTCTGGAGAAATCCAATACCATGAAAACTACCATGATATAGAGCAAACAACAACACAGCAAGTACTGGAACTTAGTTAGCTAAGTTGTGCGCCAACAAGCTCGACGCTAAAGCTGCTGCTGCTGCTGCTAAGCTAACGTGCAGAGTGGACGAGACGGTTTCCAAGAGCCAGCACACCAACTCCAGGGGGAGATACTCACAACTCTCCTGCTACTATAGCTAACATTAAAACAACAGCATATCTTGGCGAACCTGAATGTCTGTGGGCAAGTCATTTTACACATCAACTGATGCATAAATCATGTCTGCAATGGCTGAAATAGTGCTACCCAGACCTGCCTATCTACCTGCCTGTAAGCTATATCACCAAATAAATCTCTTAAGTCATCTTGCTGCCTCCTTTGTCTGTGGTTGGGTACTTTCCCTGTTGTCAGGACTTAGCAGTTTCCCAAAGATGAAATACAACCTAAAACTAGTGAGCATTATTCCAACAATACTTTAAAAACTTGGTCTTAAGTTTTAATAATATAAATGTAGTATAGTTGCAACTAACAAATGTGTTTATTTATTGCTGTGCTGCAGGCTTTAGATTTGGATTTGAGTTAGACACCAAAATCAAGACTTGACTGAAGACTGCGAAAATATGATCAGTTGTTAGACTAAGTTAGGTAAAATCTCAGCAACATAAGTTGAGCATACAAGTTTATATTTTGGTTAACTTGTGATGCCGCCATTCACTGTGGAAATAGTATGTGTTGCAAATTATTAGTTTCAAATACAGTTTTCTTAGATTTCTTTATGCTTTGTCACTTTGGAGCAGCTTCAAGGTTGGTGTTGTTACTTCAGAATGCTTTGAGTGGCTTGACTACTTTCCTGGGGGGATTAAATTGAATTTAAATTGTACTACTTTATTGTTTTACTTTATTTTCTAATGCCTCTATAACAAATTCTCCTTCTACTAAAACATAATGTACTATTTTGTGCAATGTAGTTTTGCTTACAAAAGAAGTAGAACAAAGGGGACAACAACAATGACCTATACATGAGAGACCAAACAACGTTTTCAGTAGTGACTCATATCCCACCTGATCTCCCAGAGCAGTAGTATTGAAGCCATTCATGAGAGAGCCATTATTATAGCTTCGTTGGTAAGATGAACCTTCAACACAAGAAAAACATTGTTGAAAAAGCTGAATATCGCAGTAACAGCAACGCCTAATATCATAGTCACCATATAATGCAAACATGAGAAGGGGCTTGAGTAACAAAATGACCAAATGTTCCAAAAAGTACATAAAGTGTGGTTCTTAAAGTAGTAGTTCAACATTTTGGGAAATGCTTATTTACCTACACGCTTTAAATGAAAAGATTACTACTAATAATGATGATAATCAAAACTAAACTTAACAAATTGCAATTATTATTATTATTATTATATACAACCATTTCTAGTATTAAAGTGTAGCCTTCTCCAATTCTACGTGTGGTTTGTTCAAGTTGTGTATCATACCCCAGTAGAAGCTGCTATGAGTAAGTCAAAAACACTGCACTGTCTCTTTTGAGATGTATTAAAAAGTGGAAAACTAAAATGTAATATGAGTGCTATGTAAGTTATATCATTGATTGTGGTTGTTTTTGTAGTATTATTAAAATGATAATTTTATGAATGGTGTCACAGTGTTATGTTAAATTCTTGGCAGACCGTTAGCTAGCCATACAGTACATACTGTGCATGCACGTAACTTGTGCCAAGGCATGCATGAAAGCCAATATTAACGTGAATAAATCATTTTGCGCTAGAACTGTTGAAATGAATTATTTTGCTTAAAAGTGTCAGTAATTGTATGCAGTGGAATTGTGAAAACAAACACGTTTGGTAAACGGGCCAATTTGCATTGATGATTGATTAAAGTGCAAGCAGTTTTATTTGCTCTCATTGATTGTCATCATGAACAAGAGGAAGTGTGGAAATGACATTTGTCAGTTTTTTGGGCAGCGTAAGAAAACAAGAAAAGTTGATAGCAGTGAGAAAATGACCAGTCAGATGATAAAAGTGCACTGTATTACAAGTCAGTGTTTCTTGATATAATACTTATTGTCATTCTGATCAGAAATGGTTAGTAATCCATTCCTTAACATCACAGCGAGATACTCCAGTAGTTTACTGGTTATTTTATGTTCTCCCTGGCACATTCAGAGTAAAGAGAGAGAGGGAGAGGGAGAGCTTGAGGATGCCGGCAGGGCAGGGAGAGCAGGTGACATGGAGGTGAGTGATGCATGTTCACGTCACGTGGCCTTGGAGCAGATAGATATTGATCTTCTTATCTAACGCTAAACATG